CAACCTCCAGGACCCTTCTTCTCTTCCTTCCTACAACCTCTTCCTGGCTATAGGTTTTCTTCCCCATCCCCTAAACCCCAAAGAGATCTGGACTTTCCAGTATTACCTAGGGAGGGAGTTGGCTGGGATGGGAACTTTGGGAAAAGGAGTGTAGAGGAAGTCTGAGGTGGAGGTACACACATCACTGAGGTCCAGCTCTATCTGCTATGGTTATGTGTTTCCAGCCTCCCCAAGAGGGAATATTACTGCCACTCCATTCTTGAGGGCAATTAGTGGCAGAATCCTGGGTTGGATGAATCATTGGTTTGATTTAGCCTAGCAATTCTCAGGTTTTGTATTCTCCCTTCATCCTGGAGCCTGGGGAATTAGTAAAATGAAAGGAGGGAAAGGGAAGGGAAGGAAGGAATGTCATGTTAAACATCCAGTAAATACTTGTTGATTTGTGACTTTTTGACCGAGGGCAGGAGAGTACATTCAAAGGTATCTTAGGAGACAAAGCAGAGTGAGGGACAGTATGTCTATAGAGGATAGCACTGACTGGTCAGCCAGGAAACTAATGAACTTGTCTGAGCCCAAGCCTATCGTGAAGAAACACAATAAATTTTCATTGTCAGAGGAAAAGATCAGAGCCATAGGATGTTAATGTTGGAAGGTCCTCAGAAGTCATCAAATGCAGTCCCTTAATTTTACAGAGAAGGAGACTGAGGGTCCTAGACTAGAAGTGATTTGCCCAAGGTCACACCAAACCTGACATCACCAGTGATTTTCTCCAGCCCAAGCTCCCTCATTGAACCATGTCCTACCAGTCAACCAGAGCTAAACTTGAACATAGACACTTCCCAGTTATTGGTTGAATGAATGCTGGAGCAGATCTGGAGAGAGGATATAAATCACTGTTTAATCCTCCTTCCCTCTTCTCTCCCTCAGGTTAGGCAGTAGAAGAAGAATCCTCCCTTCCACCAGAAAGTTTCCTTTGGGAGAACAAGCATGCCAGTGCTGTCTGAAGATTCAGGTGAGTCTCTCTCCCAGTGTGCGTGGGATTAAGAGTGGGAAGAAATCAGACAGTAAGAAACTTAAATAATGGAGGAAACTCTACTTCTCCCTCCCCTACTCCCAATGCCCCAGTCCTGTCCTGGTCACTGCTATAGACTGGATGAGTCTGGGCTTCTATAAAATGTAGGAGTTGGGCCCTTTCCAGCTTTAAATTTATGATCCTATCAGGGTCCCCTTGGGCAGCTGGGTGGCGCAGTGGATAGAGTGCCAGGCCTGGACTCAAGAAGACTCATCTTCTTGAGTTAGAATCTGACCTCAAACACTTACTAGCTGTGTGACCCTGTTTGCCTCAGTTTCCTTATCTGTAAAATGACCTGGAGAAGGAAATGGCAAACCACTCCAGTATCTCTGCCAAGAAAACCCTAAATAGAGTCACAAAGAATCAGGAACAACTGAAAAACAACTGAATAACAACTTCACAACAACAGCAAGAGTGTCCTCAGATTTAAGTTTAGACAAGAACACTGGAGAGGGAGCTGTAAGTTAGAAAATATTTTCCAGGTTTAATTTGGGGAAAAACCTTTTGTAAGGTGTTTTATTCAGTTGCTATAGACTGATTTGGGACCTGCTCCTGCCTCACCCTGAACCTCCCTACTTTTATTGATTGGATTGTGCATTTTTCTAAGTAGATGTTTCAGTCCATATTAAATAGGGTTAGTGTTAGTTAAATAGGGATCTGTCGCAAAAGAATGGAATTAATTCTTGATGTATCTTAATCAGTGTGTGATTGTCCAAAGTTTTTTTGCAGTCTGAAGTCTTATGTGTCACATTTAAATGTTACATTTAAAATTTTCATGCCTAGTAAAAGGAAAACCCCAGGTCACCATGAAAAATTAACTAAAGAGATCTGAGTTAGAGGACATGGGTTCAAATCCTGTCTCTTTCATCTATTACCCAAATTACCTTGGATAAGTCTTCTTTATCCTCTGTGCCTCAGTTTCCATATGTATAAAATGAAGGGATTAGACTAGATGACCTTCAAAGTCCCTTCTCATTTTAAATATTGTAATTCTGAACTTCCTAAGGCAGGAAGTTCCCATTTCAGTTTTCATTCCCTATCTGCCTCTTTGTTTTCTCTTTGCTTTTCCTCAGGGTTGCATGAAACCCTGGCCCTATTGACCTCTCAGCTCAGACCAGACTCTAACCATAAAGAAGAGATGGGGTTCTTGAGAGATGTCTTCAGTGAGAAAAGCCTTAGTTACTTAATGAAGGTAAACTTTTGTTTCATTCCCACTCCCCATTTTCTTTTATGCATAATATAAGTCTCTGAGGGCAGGGGCTATTTAATTTTTCCCCATTTATTTAAACAAATTTTAATTATCTTTTTATTATTTTTTTCAATCAATGAAAATCCAACTTCTCTTCCTTTAGTCTCCTTCCCCCATTGAGAAACAAGAACAAACAAAACCCCTGTTACAAACATATGGGTATTTCATTTTTGTATTCCCAGTGCATGCCATATAAGAGGTACTTAATAAATGCTTGTTAAATTAAATTCCATGTGGTCCAGTTAGGATTTCCAGATGTCTTTGGCTCCCTGGTCACCTCTAAAAGTCATTCCATCCATTCCTCTGTCTCCAGGACACTTTGTTATTCCACTGGCTCAGAAAAATAGTGGTCTGTTGTGTTGCAGTCGCTAACCTCTTGGCCAGTAACATGCTCTGGGGTCAAAATTATAGCTCTTTCCCCCAAAATCTTTACTTTTTTTGGGAGGGGAGAGCTTGGGAAGCTAGCTAGGTTTGCATTCATTCTCCAGAAACCCCACTTGTCATTTCAGATTCATGAGAAACTGCGCTATTATGAGAGACAGAGCCCAACTCCAGTTCTGCACAGTGCTACAGCCCTTGCAGAAGATGTAAGTCTCCCCTCTCTGGCAGACTTCCACTCTCAGCATTCGGGGCCGTGCTGTCTTTACCTGAGGGTGTTCACACTGGGAACTAAAAAGCACAGAATGCCTTTCTCCCCTTTGTTTCTCTAATCTAGTGGAGAGAGAGCCCTGCCTGTGAGCTCCCCAACCTCCCTCACTTTGCCTTTGCCTTTATGTTTGACCTTGGAAAAAACACCACCTTTCTGGACCTTAGTTTCCTCTTCTCAGAAATGAAGGGATTCTACTAGATGACCCCTAAGATGTTATTTAATCTAGTAGTTGGAGACTATGAGAGCTGGGTTCTAGGTCCTGTTTTTTCCACTAGCTTGCTCGGTAACAATGGGTAAATCACTTCCCTCTCTCTGTTTCTTTCTCTGTAAAGTGGTGAGATTGAATAAGATAATCTGTTAGGTCTCTTTCAGCTTTAGGTTTGACCCGCTAACTTTTATTGATGAGTAAGTTCTTACTGGGGAGCAGTGAGCCAGAGGAGTGCTTTCCCATGTCTACTCCACAGAGCCTGGGAGAGTTTACAATGCCTGGCATTGATCACCTAGTTCCTGAGCAGACAAGGATGTAACAGGGCCCTTGGTTATGTGGCCGATTTGGGGCTCGACCATGGGTCAAAAGGCCCAGGAGCAGCTATTTTGACCAAGAAACTGCTTAGAAACAGTTGGAAAAACCTATCATAAGTAGGAACTTGGTTAGCATTCAGCTAATTCCCTTTTGCCTCTGATGTTCTGTCTCTGTTTAGGTTATAGAAGAGCTACAAGCTGCATCAGTCCACAGTGATGAGAGGGAGCTGCTCCAGCTGCTGTCCACTCCCCATCTCAGGGTACTGACCGCTGGTATTTCTCAGTCCTGGCCCAGATAACTTTTTTTTTAATGGCATTGATATATTTTGTTTTGACACAGCAAACATCTCCCTCTCCTTCCTTCCCCAAATTTATTCCCCCTTCATTCTCTCCTCTTCTGTGTCACCTATTCTCCTTTTTTCCATCCCCCTTTTCCTCTCCTCTCATTCCTCCATCCTCCTCTCCTCCACTCCCCCATCTTCCCCTCCTCCCCTCCTCTCTCCCCCACCCTTTTTAGCTCCCTGTCTCCCCTCTTCTTAACTCCTATTCTCCTGCCTCTCAAATCTAACAAGCTTTTTTTTTTTTAGAAAATACTTTCCCTGAGAAAGTTTGATTGGTAACAGAAGGGAAGGATCAGTCAGTTAACTGCATTTATTAAGCGCTTACTATGTGCAAGGTTGGACAGCTAGGTGATGTAGTGGATAGAGTACCAGGCCTGGAGTTAGGAAGTCCTGAGTTCAGATTCAGCCTTAGACACTTAATAGCTGTGTGACCCTGTGCAAGTCACTTCACCCCTCTTTGCCTCAGTTCCTCATCTGTAAAATGGGGAGAAGGAAATGGCAAACCACTCCAGTATCTTTGCAAAGAAAACTCCAATGGAGATGTGAGGAGTCAGACACAACTGAGACAACTGAACAACAGCAACAACAACAAGAACGTGCAAGGCACTGGGGATACAAAAATGAAAGATGAAATCATCCCTGCATCCATTAACTTTAAAAAGCTGGCATTTGACCAGAATTATGTTGCTTCCTCATGATGACTTTATTTACGTTCTTGTAATTATTGTGCGTTGGTAGGGAGAGTTTCCTCATTAGAAGTTTCTTACCCTGATGAAATCACAGGTTTGGTTAAAAAAAAATCATTGTGTGTATTGTTTCATATACTGGTTGTATGACCATGGGCAAGTCATTTAACCTCCCAGTGCTTTAGGCAACTCTCTCAGACTCTAAGTTGCATTAGTAGAGGGACTTTTCTCATCTGGGGGTTCCCTGTACCAAAGAAATCACAAGTCTCCAATCCCTAACTGTACTGTTGGTTGTGTTTTCTTTGCTTCTCATATAAGTCTTCCTTTGCATGCTCCACATCCATTATGATTTATGGTACAATAATATCCCATTAGATCCATATACCCTAATTTGTTCAGCCATTCACCAATTGATGGGCATGTATTTTGTTTCTCTTTTTAAAAAATTATAGCTCATTCAGCTCACATGTTTCTGTGTGTGTGTGTGTGTGTGTGTGTGTGATGTGGTTAATACCATCTGGGGAGAATAGGCCACAGCCATGGGGAAGGGCTACCCTTGCTACAAAGTCAGGGACGTTTCTGCCTGGGAGCCTTCCCGGGAGGCCTTTCTGGGCTGCTGGTTTTCTGATGGGTCTGTGTGCAGTCAGCCCTCTTGGGCCTCTGCATCTTAACGACGGGGGCTCTGCAGTGGCTGCCACAGGGCCATCATCTCCTTCCTTGGGGCCACAGCTCTTAACTTTTCTTGGTTTCCTACAGGCTGTGCTCATGGTACATGATACTGTTGCTCAGAAGAATTTTGACCCTGTTCTTCCCCCTCTGCCTGAGAATATTGAGGAGGATTTTAATGAGGAGTCAGTGAAAATTGTCCGTCTTGTGAAAAACAAAGAACCTCTGGTATGTGTATTGCACCCCCCCACCCCGAACCATTCTGTCATTCACTCTCTTCTAATCTCTCTTCCCTCATCCTTTCGTTGACCCTCTTCCTGTCACTCTTCTCCCTCTTTTCATTCTTTCATCTTCCTCTTTACTTCCTCTCATCCTCCTCTTTCCATCTTCTCATACCCCGTCTCCCCATCTCTTTCCTCTTCTCTTCTCTTATTTCCCATCCTCCTTCCTTTCAGCCCCCATTCTCTGCCCCCCAATTCCCTCATCCTCCCCTCTTCTCATTCTCCCATTCCCCCTCCACTCATGTGCAAGGCTGGGCAGCTAGGTGATGCAGTGGATAGAGCACCCTCCTCCTCTCAATTCCCCATCCTCCTCTTCCCTTATTGCTCCATCCTCTTCTCTTCATCTCCCCATCCTCCCCTTCTCTTACTCCCCACACCATTCCTTTTAGCTGTCATCCTCCCTTCCTCTCATTCCTCCATTCCAGCTTCTTCTTCCCCTTCGATCTTCCCATCCTTCTTTCTCCCTTCCTTCTTTCCCCTCATTCTCATCCACTCTCCTGGTAAATAGGAGAATGCTTTTTCTATTCCTTTCTTTGAAACATCAGAAGTCACTTTAAATTTAAGATTTAATTTAATTTAATTCACTCTACCAATGCTTTGCACAGAGAAGAACTTAATAAGTATCTGACTGATTGTATAGATGCAAGGTGGCCATAGTGGTGTTCTAATTTTTCTCATTGACTTTTCCTGTTGAGGGAGGGCTTTGCTTAAGAGAGAACTGTCTCTTCTCGGTATTGGAGACTCTTCCCCAACCCCAATTTGCCTAGCCTTCCCTGGAGGAAAAGGAAGGGACATGGAACACCTGGGCCTCAGGGATCTGGGGTTTGTTATTTCTACCTCAGTGATTTGCCTTCTCTCTGGGGGTCTGATTCAGGGTGCAACCATCAGGAGGGATGAACACTCAGGGGCAGTCATTGTGGCCAGGATCATGAGAGGGGGTGCAGCTGACCGGAGTGGTAAGTGACTGAGTCCTTCTCCTTAAATGTTATATTGTCCCTGAATTGACTCCTTCAACCTTGCCACTTCCCAGTGGAGACATATACCAACCATCTTGGGAGCAGAGGTTTCCTGTCCTGTTGAAGGAAATTTCCTTTTTCTCTAAGTCACAAATCTCTAAACTGGGGTCCACTGGCCCTGAAGGATATGTGGATAGATTTCAGGAAGTTTGTAACCCTGGATAGGGAAAAAATACAATTTTATTTTACCATAACTGTTTTCCTTTGCAATTCTATGTATTTTATTTTATGCATTTAAAAACATGGGTCCGAGTTGTCAATAGTCTTCACCAGACTGCCAACAGGGTTCACAATGTAAAAAAGGTTAAGAGCTCCTGCTCTTGACATAGAGTGCTTCTCAAAGTCCCAAAAGAAAAAAGAAATTTTGATTTATTTTAGGTAGAGGCAACTAGGTGGTACAGTGGATAGAGCACTAGCCCTGGAGTCAGGAGGACCTGAGTTCAAATGCGGCCTCAGAAATTTGATACTTATTAGCTATGTGACCCTGGGCAAGTCATTTTACCCCAATTGCCTTGCCTAAAAAAAATTTATTTTAGGTAAAGTAAGCATAGACCACAGAGACCTTTGAGGATGAGGGGGCAGGGGAAAATTTAGGAACTGGAACAGAGGACACAAAGTCACTGCAGCTCCTAGGAGAATGGGAATCCCTGCTTCAAAGGTTTCTAAAATTCAGGGGCATTTAAAAATTTTTACTAACGTAGAAGGAAAGAGATGGATATGCATTAAGACATCTTAAAGCACATCCTTCTTCTCTGCCTTCCTACAGCTTGGCTCTCAATGCACTTCCACCTCACCGCTGCCTCTTAACTTCCTTTAAACCTCATCATGTGTGTTACCTCCTACAGGAAGCTTTCCTGACTCACCTGGCTGTTAAGGCTTTCTTCCCCTTCTCCCAACCCCTGCTCCTTCCCAATTATGCTATATTTACTTATCAGTTTACATTTTGTATCCTCCTAGTAGAATGTAAGCTCCTTGAGGGCAGGGATGTTTTCATTTGGTCTTGTGCAAAGACATTGCCTTACACATTAAAAAAATATTCCTGTGTGGAAACCTCCTCTACTGGTATAGAATAGCAACTCTTCTGGCACTTGGATAGTGATGTGTGAATTACTTGGGATGAAGTGAAACAATTAGATTAGTGGTTTCTCAAACTTTTTGATCTTAGGTCCCTTTTATACTTCTAATATTATTAAGGACCCTCCAGAGAGTTTTTCCTTAAATATGTATATGTATGTGTATGTAGACACACACACACATATATATTATAATGTACTATGTATTATACTTAGTATATAAATTATATATAATATAATGATATGTTGATATTTACCATGTTAAAAAATTAAGACATCTTAGCATTATTAGTATTATTTTGACCTTGAGAACCCCCTGAAAAGTTCTCAGGGACCCCCAAGTAGTTCCTGGATCAAGCTATGAGAAGCATTGAATTAGATTGGATATATGAGGGGTTCTTAACCTGAGGTGCATGGATCCATAATGTATTTGTAGACAGAATTCAGGGTGACCACATACTTGAAAAGGAGAAAAAATACATCTTTATGTTTACTAATTGAAATTTAACATTTCCTTCAATTATTTCAAGACATTATTGTGAAAAGAGATCTCTAGGCTGCCCATGGGTCCACAATATAAAAAATGATAAATAAAATTAAAAAAACCTGACTTATTATGACAATGAAACCCTGACTTATGCAATCAGTTCTGCTTTCAAGACGAGGTTTCACCTTATCAAGGGCAGCAGATGTTCAGCCTCATGTGCCAGTAGAAATATAAACCCATGATCTTTGCTGTCATGAAGTGAAACTCTATAAAAATATTGCTTGCTACAAGTAATTCACCCACTACTGTCTTCTTAAAACTTTTGCCCGAGGAACTGAGAAATTAAGCCACTCAAGTACTTAGTACAGAGGTGGGGAACCTGGGGCCTCGAGGCCACATGTGACCCTCTAGGTTCTGAAGTGCAGCCCTTTGACTGAATTCAAACTTCACAGAACAAATCTCCTTAATAAAAGGATTTGTTCTGTAAAACTTGGACTTAGTCAAAAGCCTGCACCCAAGGACCTAGAAGGCTACATGTGGCTTTGAGGAGGCAGATTCCCTACCCCTGGCTTAGTACAATACCTGGCACATGTAGGTGCTTAATAAATATTTATTGATTGACTTGCCCAGGGTCACACAGTCAGTATGTGTCTGAGGTGGAGCTCAAACCCAGGTGTTCCTGACTCTAGGACTGGTTCTCTATCTGGCTCAAAATAGGTGCTCAATAAATGATTGTTAGTGAATGAATCTTCACCTACATCTCTAAACTTGTGCCCCCTCCCCCCTTCCTTTGAGGGGTGTGTGTGTGTGTGTGTGTGTGTGTGTGTGTGTGTGTGTGTGT